TTGCTTTTAGAGTTGGCATTGAGAAATCAGAAGCCATTCCGCTTCCTGATCTTCCAGTGTGAACCATATGATCCTCCCCTCCCAGTACACCCTTCCCTCCATTTCTAGAAATGGAAAATCTGGCCCACAGTGCTCTTAAGTTCCACGGTGGCATGTGTGAACATGGGTCTTTGATCTATTTTGTCGAGTATTTGGTGGGTCCTTTTAATTTGGGCAACTCATGATTTAAGTTCTAAGAAATTTTCTTGAATGCTTCTCTTGCGTTCTTCCACTCCATTTCTTTTGTTCCTTTAGCTTTACTTTCTGGGGCATTTCCTCAACATTATCTTCTAGCCCTTTTATTGAGTTTTAAATTTCTTAAGGTATTTCTTTTTCAAGAGCCCTTTTTTAATTTTCTGAAAGTTCTGTTTTTGTTTCATAGTTATAATAGCTTTCTGGAGATATGGTAGTTTGAAGGGTTTGGTTGTTTGTTTTTTTTTTTCTTGTTTAGTCTTCTTCCTTTAGGTTGCTCTTTCTGTTTTGTGATCTCTCCCTTTCAAATTACAGACTGTTCTCCAGATACCTTGGGAGCTTGGCGGTCTACTCTTGAGTAGGAATAGAGCAGTGGTTCTCGATTGGAGCCTATTTTGCCCCCCCCCCCAGGGGACATATGACAATGTCTGGAGACGTTTTTTGGATGTCAAAACGGGGTCAGGGGTGCTGCCCGGATTGCTGTTAAGCATCCTACAATGCAGAGGACATCCTCACACAACGATGAACTATCCAGGCCAAAATGTCAGCAGTGCTGTGGTTGGAAATCCCGCAGTAGAGGGATTGAAAGCTGATTGAGAGCTCTGAACGTGTGGGCAGAGCTCGTTGAGCAGTTCAAGTCCTTATCTATAGGTCTTTCCTTCTGGCCTGGTCATATACACAACAGAAAATCTCCTGCCTGAAGAATAAAGATCTAGCTTCTAACGTACCCCCTGTTAAGGGGGAAAGGGGTGGGGCTGTCTCTATTCAGTTTTGTGTGTGATCACTCAATCCCCTAGCTTTCCATTTACTAGTACCCACTTCCTCAACTGCCTTGTGCCCCCAGTTCTCAGACCCTATGTTTTACCCTCTCTAGAGCAGATCTCTGATAGAATGACAGTAGGGCAGTTGCACAGTGAGATGGAGTATGGGTATGGAGGGGACCTAGGACTCTAACGGCTTCTCTAGAGATTTCATTCAAACCTGCTCTTTTAGCCCCACCCTCTTAACCTCTAGTTCCAGGGTTTTCTGGTGCTGCCAGTTTGAGTGTCTTGAGGATTCTGGAGTGTATATGGGTTTGGTTTATGAACTTTCCTTATTTTCTCTTTGCACTTCAGCTTTCCTGACTCTGGTAAGTCAGTTATCAGTACTCCATCTGCTTTTTTGCTTCCCAAATTTGACTATTACTGTTGTCTCCTCTAGTTTCTCCTAGTCCTTTTTAAAAAGTGATAGCCCCTTTGGTATCGTTTTAGTGGAGTCTGGGGAGGAAAAGAAATTAGATGCATTGTGTTAAATCTGTTATCCTGGAAACCAACATACTACTATATTCTAGCCTGATTTCAGCCTTAATTCTAGTCTCTTTTTTTGATGTGTTTCCTTTGGTATCAAAATTGTTCATTTCCACGGCGCCTGGGTGGCTCATTTGGTTAAGCGTCCAGACTCTTGATTTCAGCACAGGTCATGATCCTCAGGGCCCTGGGATCCGAGCCCCATGTCAGGCTCCCCACTCAGCAGGGAGTCTGCTTGAGGATTCTGTCCCTCTCTCTCTGCCCCTCCTTTCTCTCTAAAAGAATAAATAAATAAATAAATCTTTTTTTTTTTAATTGCTCATTTCCTAGACTTAACCTTTTTCACATAAATGAAAACCAGAGGAGGGGACTCTGTGACTGCATAGAGACGCAGCTGCATTTTTTTCAAAACCTTAGGGCGTGGTACAGCAATATTTATTCATTTACAACATATTCTGGTTTCATTGACCTTTTACTTAAAAACAGAATTCTGTGAGCCACCACCTGCCTCAAAAGGAACCTTGTGCCACAATCCTAATCAAAATTCATTATTCTAAAAGAGTTGAACAACGAACTTCTATTTTATCAAATCTGAAATGCTATCAATTATCTTATTTCATTTTGATTAACATGCTGGCGAGAATTAGTAGAAATATGAGAAAGATAATAGCTTATGATGATGGCTTACAACTATCTGTCAATATTTTCCCCCACATAAATACTCAAGAATCAGCTGTACCATAGACTAAAAAAAAAATGTGAGGATGAAATTTCAAGCATGGAAGAGTTTTGGCCAGATGAATGACCAGACTTAGGCCTCCTGAATTTTTGCTGTTCCTTAAAATATCATTCAAATATAATTAATAAGTATAAAACATTTACTGTATTACACACACTTTATTACACCCTCTTTTTTTTTTTTTTAAAGATTTTGTTTATTTGAGAGAGAGAGACAGAGCACAAGCAGAGGGAAGGGGCAGAGGAGAGGGAGAAGCCGACTCCCCTCTGAGCAGGGAACCCAATGTGGAGCTCAATCCCAGGACCCCGGGATCATGACCTGAGCTGAAGGCAGATGCTTAACCAATTGAGCCACCTAAGCGCCCATATACCCTCTCTTCTTAAGATGGGAAACCAAGCCAGAGTATTTCATTGCCTGCCCATCTTCAACCTATCAACCAAATATAGGTACTCAAATGCTGCTAAAATTACAGACACTCTATAACTGTTTAAATTTTTATCAGTTTCCACTGAGTTTCTGGTTGATGGATTAAATCATAAGAAAAACTTAAAGTATATTTCAATGTCTTTTTTGTGTACTAAATTTGATTCACTTTTCCTAACTCCTGGGTGCCATTGAGGGACAGACCCTTGAAATGCTTTACTTTTTGACCTGTCTTCAGGTCATCAGTAGTTCATAAATAAACTCATTTTCCTTGCCTCACATTATAGAATTAGCCTAAAGAATTGAGGATTGGGTTTGATTTTTATTCATAGACTTAAATGCTTTTTTTCCCCCTCCAAATTCCCTTTTCTCTCCTTTTTCTGTAGGTGTCTTCATTTTACTATTACTAAAAGGGCAGGGAGAGAAGCTATGCTTTTCTTGCCTACCTTTCATCAAACAGGAAAAAGTAAAAAATTGACTCTGTGGTCCACAGATAATCCCACATACAGATCTTGGAAAATTTCCAAAAAGATGTAGTGAATTGAAGCACACGACACAAATGTATATATAAATAGAATCCCAAGGGTTTAAGTGTGGACAAAAACCAGTTACATTAAGCATTTCCTGAAATTGCTTGCTGTTGTCAGAATAAGTAGTCACAACTAAGACATCCAGATTGAGAATGAAAACATTTGTGGGAGTCCTGCCTCACTTTGTTATATTGTCTTCTCTTAGAGCAAAATCTTTGAGCAGTTTGGAGTGGTTATCGAAAAGGTCCTCTTTCTTTGGAGTTCTGAAAGGCACATTATTACCATTTTTTTTCCTTCCAGTTGAGCTTTGTTAGGTTGCTTGAAGAGAGAGATTTGAGGCTGTGGTGTAATTGATGTCCAGAGGATGGCATGGTGAAATCAACTAATTCATATGATGTTAAGAGAAATGTTTAAGTCTGGGTTAGATTATATTCTTTGTCCCCTAATTGAGAGAAAGACAAACTTCTTTAAGGCAAGCGGCATCACAGGTGCCCCAATGTAAATGAAGAATTTATCTGCTGATTGACCACGGGCATCCACATGTACTGTTTTTACCTGTAAAAGCTAAATAACGAGGGTGTTATTTTTCCTGAGGGGGGTGGATACGCATGTATATACCAGTACATGTATTTAATGACTTAAACTATAATCGCCTTCAGATAAATTGCTGTAGTATATTGCTGTTGTATTCTGTATTCAGTAGTCAAATCAAGCATGTACATGTACAAATCAATCTTTGGATTATCTTTGGTTCAGATACTTATTTGATAACTATTAATCACAAGGAACTGTGTGTGCCCACGTGTGTGTGTATGTAATGCGTGGGCCCAGGCATTGGTGTTTTATCAGTCATCACAGTTGATTCAATTATATGGCCAATATTGAGAGCCACCAATTTAGGGAGAGAGCTGGATGGCTCAAATGAGTAGACCAGTGACTCTCCTGGTAGAAAGTACTTCCTTTCCTACGGCAATTTAGAACAATTCTAATTTGAAGTTTAAGGAAGATAGATTTCTCTGTAACTTCTTGTGAGACCAGAGAGGTTGTTGGAGGCAAAGTCATGCAGGGTTTCTGTTTGTGAAGTGCCTCTTTGAGTCTTTTGGCTAGATTTTACTGGGGTGTATTTTCCTATTTGGGAATTATTTATGTGTTTCAGTTCCTAACCAAATATATGCATTGAAAATACCTTCTTTCTCTGGGATTTTGAGCAGAAACATAAGATCAGATTTTCATTTTTAAAACATGACTCCAAGAATGAGTGGGAGAAACAAGTTCTTCAGTAGTCCTGGTAGAAGATGGTAGTAGCTTAGACCTAGGGTATGATACATGGAGAGAGGTGGACAGGATTGAGAGAGATTTGAGAGAAAGTCGGTAGGACTTGTTAGTGAAGATTGGATAGGTGGTGGGTAAGGTGACAGGGGAAGGGGTCAAGAATGACTTAAGTTTCTGCTTCAAAAGATAAAAGCTGTGTGTACTACCACTGTGATTTCTTTAAGATGTTGATAATATATGTAGAATATTACAAAAATCATTTGCCTTGAATATAAGAATACTAGTTAGAATTTTCAGAAGTCATTTTGAAATGCAAATTTGTTTTCTATTCTGGTTTAATAACTTTAACGTATGACTTATTTACCTCATGGATTATAGAAAAATATGTTCAAAACTATAGTACTTAAATTTGGTCTTAAACTACAGCCATAGTAGACAATGAAACATCAGTAAGATGTTGATGGGGATGTTAATTAAAAACAATGAATTAAACTTGGCCTTTTTTTTTTTTTTTTAAAGGGGTCCCTTCAGTGTTGTACGACGATGTATCAACAGAGAAACTGGGCAACAATTTGCTGTAAAAATTGTTGATGTAGCCAAGTTCACATCAAGTCCAGGGTTAAGTACAGAAGGTAAGAGATGGATTTCAAGTAAGTTATTTGATGTCTGGCTTTATTTCATCTCCAAAATCCATTTATCAACCTAACTTTCATCTGGGGATGGGGAAGTGGTGGGTATAATGTAGTGGGAAATGGGTGGAGACAGTTTAAATTCCATTCTAGTTTGTCAATTCTAGAACATGGTATTTGAAAGATAGCTAGAGTAATTTACAGTTACAGAACCACATAAGATTGCTCTAGGTCTATGGTTTTTGACTAGAAGAAAGTGAAATCTGGATATATTTTTGTAGGGTCTAATTTTGAGTCCTGTGGTACGGAAGACGGAATGGGATGGGAAGGGAGGGAGGGGAAATAATGGCAAAGATACGATAATTGCAGGTTCAAAAGAAACTAAGATGAATTCCCTCCAAATCCATAACTTAGCACCTTGAGGATTATGGTTAATAGGACTAAAAGACTCCTATATCACATTTGGTTTAAGTCACTTAGAGTGTATATGTGAAAATTTGAAAGATCAGTAGGTTATGACATGCAGGACTTAAACTTTGGTTTTAAGACCTTGATATGGTTAATCATATTTATATGTAAACGTTTTTAAACAGTAGGTAAGCATTTTAAAGTTACTTATTTTTTATACAGTTTAACTCCTAGCTTCACATAGCCACAGTTCGCATGTGCTCCTATTTCAGCTGGCACAATTGATTATATTTATTTTTCTAATTCGTCTGTCTTCTAAATTCAGGCTTTTTAACAGTCCAAGAACAATGCAGTTGATAGTTGAAGTTGGAAAAGCTAAGGCAGAGTAGCCGATTTATATTTTATCCAGTTATCCTAACTTTGGAAAGTAGAAACCTACATACTGTGAGCTCCAAGTTAATCTGTTTCTGTAGATCTTTTTTCAGGATCATTGCTTTTAAATACTTTTTTAACCTTTGAATTATTATAATCCATATACTGATTATAGAAGATTCTTAGAAGCTGTAACTCACAAGAAGCACTGATTTTTTTAAAGTGCTTTAATCCTTAAAATGTTATGGCAAGGGGCGCCTGGGTGGCTCAGTTGTTAAGCGTCTGCCTTTGGCTCAGGTCATGATCCCAGGGTCCTGGGATCGAACCCCGCGTTGGGCTCCCTGCTCGGCGGGAAGCCTGCTTCTCCCTCTCCCGCTCCCCCTGCTTGTGTTCCCTCTCTCGCTGTCTGTCAAATAAATAAATAAAATCTTTAAAAAAAATGTTACAGCAAGATTCAGGGGTTTTAGATCTCATGGTTTCATTCTCTGGAATTGGCTGTTATTACTTTTTAATATAAATTATTTTATAAATTTAGCAGAATTTAAAATTTACTTCCAAGCAGGCTTTGCAACTTAATTATGTTTCCTAAAACTTAACTGGATTTAAGTTTAATATACTGTATTTGATTTTCTGTACCTCAGTTGTCAACTAATGAAACCTTCCTGGGTCTTGAACATAGTTTATTAAACCTGTAGATGTGTTGAATCTTTATTTCTCTTAAATGTTCTGTTACTGTTGATGAACTTAGTAAGAGTCTAGTTTAAAATCACAAGTCTAAATCAGTTACTCATTATACTAATTTTTATATTGATTTAGCTCATTGTTATACCTAATTCTCAATCTCTCCAGGCTAAAGACATTTTTTTAAATATTTATTTATTTGACAGAGAGAGAGACAGCGAGAGAAGGAACACAAGCAGGGGGAGTGGGAGAGGGAGAAGCAGGCCTCCCGCCGAGGAGGGAGCCGGATGTGGGGCTCAATCCCAGTACCCCGGGACCATGACCTGAGCCGAAGGCAGCCACCCAACTGACTGAGCCACCCAGGCACCCCTAAAGACATTTTTAGGGAGGCAATTGATTACTTTCTCAGTTTGCTGAGGTTGTTTATTGACAGATTTTTTTCAGCAAGGGATCTCTGGCGCTATAGACTCAGACTGCCAGGCTGAACCTCTTTTTTTTTTTTTTTATTGTCACCTAGTTAGGGAGTCAAATGCCAAACTTAATAAAAAGGAGGTGGGGAGAGATGGGGAGGGTTGGCATGTAGTCCATGTTCCTGAGTTTGTCTTGTCTTTACCTAATATATGGGAGCCTGTCACTGAAATTGTAGTTCATTCCTTCATTGTTTTGGCATTGCTTTTGCTATATAAAAGTCTTCAAGTCCTATTCTGAAGACAAGGCCAGGTCATTTCATTTATCCGATATGGTAGGGCCACAACCTATAGATATTAAATGATACCAGTTGAATTCTGTGTATTACTCATGTCTTTATCTGGTTTTGATAAGAATCCATTATTACTCAAAATGTGCCACTTGTCCTTTATATTTATGGCACCAAAATGTAGTTTTACCATCTTCTTTAAACAGTGACCAAGAAGCAAAATCAGAATTCCATCTCCCATTACCCCCCCACCTTTCCTTCCTTCCTCCCTTCCTTCTCCCCTCCCTTCCTTCCCTCCCCTCCCTCCCCCCTTCCTTCCCTCCCCCCTCCCTTCCTTCCCTTCCCTTCCCTTCCCTTCCCTTCCCCCCTTCCCCTTCCCCTTCCCTTCCCTTCCCTTCCTTCATGCCTCCTTCCCTCCCCCTCTCCCTCCCTCCCTTCCTTCCTTCTGATGGTGTTCCCATATCCTCTTATTGCTCATGTTCACACTATCTTACTTTAACTTGGACACATCTTAAGATATATATAATAAATATTTTATTTATATAAAACCTCTGACTAATTTCCTCTTCCCAATGTCTTTTAACTCCTTTCCAGTCACTGAAGGCAAAACATCTTATCCCTTTTGCCCTTCCAGTCCATTTACAAACTGTTAGGGCCCAAAAATGACCTCATTCATGGCTAAGTGTAGGAGATGCTATATTAAGAAGAAATATATTTTGAAGTGAAGTTTAGCATAATAAAAAGGAATCCATAAGTTTAAATATCTAGAAATAGCTGTATTTACTGTTACATTCTCTTCTAATTAAGCCTGTCTCTCAAGCAACACATAATTTAAAATGTTTTATTCTTTATTCTTTTTCCATTTTTTTAAATTTATTTTATTTAAATTTTACTTAACATAGAGTGCAGTATTGGTTTCTGGAGTAGAATTCAGTGATTCATCACTTCCATTTTATTTTTCAATTTTTGTCTTTGTGGTTTGTTTGACCTTGTCATTGCCTCAATATTTTTTCCTGTTTTAGTGCATTTGTATTCAAATACATTATTGAGTAAAATTGGTTTTTTAAAGGGTCACCTGAGGTCCTAACATATGCTCTTTACTTGGACAGATCATTATAATACAAAGACAGACAAAAAGAGCACCTACTTTTAAGAGGTTTGCAGTTAAATAGTCTTCAACCATTGTTTCTAACATTGTTTTATAAGAACATGTAATAAATTCTAAATACATAATTTACAGATTAGCTTTTGAAATGAAATACTATATATTAGTTGGAGCCCACTTGTATGTTTTAATATTTTAAATTCTTCATGCTCCACTAAAGATGTAACTATTTGAATATCTGTTTTCTATTTTTCCCATTAAAATCATAATTTTTTTTCAGTAGGCGTTCTTAATTTACAGGTTATGGGGTATCCAAGAACCCCTTAAATTGTAAGCTCAATTACAGATACATGTTCATTTTCCTAGGAAGAAAGTCCATAGCTTTTATTAGATTCCTAAAAAGGCATATTATCCCTAACTGGTTCAGTTTCTTCTTTCACATGTATGAAAAAATGAAATTGATGCTTATGAACATGAGATAACGTTTTTATTAAATGAAAACTGGCTGAATTTATATTAGGATATTACTTCTGATCAGAGGATATTTTCATATGTACATACACAGCCTCCATTAATGAAATTCCTTGATGAATGTCTTAAAACTCTTAATTAATACACATTTATCTCTTATATTTATATCTCTTTATCTCTGCTAAACCACTGATTAAATTTGACCTTTTTTGTTTTGAAAATAGGTATCAAAATTAGGCAAATTGTTATAAGGAAATTTTAAGGAAGGTAAGATATATAGAATTGGAAACTGAATTGACAGTTCTGAGACCTTGAAGGAACTCAGTTCTTTATGGTTCAATTTGAAAAGTTCAAAATGGCAGTTTTTATTTTGGAAGAATATTGTCTTCTAGAAAGAATATAGATTGGGCTCCAGTTTACCTAGTCTCTAAGAATATCTCATTCTAAAAGTCCCAGATAGCAGATGATGTCAGCGAATTGGAGGAGTAAGGACCTTTGACAATTCTCCTCTCCATAAAAGTGAGGGAAAACTGGCAAAAATAGAATCAACTTTTTCAGAACTCTGGAAATTAACCAAAGGTTTGCAGTTATGCAGGAAGAATTTATTCAGGAAAAACCCCTGATTCTTGCTAAGAACAGTGAGCTTTGTGGCATTTTAACTTGCCCCATTCCCACCCCCCTCTCTCCAGTTCCATGGTAACCTTGAAAACAAAGAGTTCACAATCATGGTGAAAACCAGGAGCCTGGTAGCCACCAAAGGAGGCAGAACTGGAATGGAACTCCTTGAAAGCCTCATGCCCATGAAATTTTCATTATCTGACCTGTCTGGTAGTTTCCTGGAAGGGACCCACTTGCAAGGCTTGTCTTTATTTGGTCTGACTCAGAGATTGCCTACTGCAAAATACCTTTTGCCTGGGGGCATTTGTTGAAAATTTTTAGAGGCAGTTTAACTTCACAGCTACCTGAGGTCGTAGAGTAACAGTTGGGGCAAACAAAAATCTAACCTAAAAGCTTAAAAAGAAAAAGTGGGCAGTGAGAGGTCTATAGGGGCTCTGAAAAAACAACAAACGTTATTTGTGGGAATCAAGAAAGCCATGCACACGCTCAGAAAAGACCTAACGAGACCTTAAGCTCTCAACTCTAGTCAACTTTGAGGCTGTGCCAATAGGAATTGAATGCTAAGGCAGAGTTGTCAACTCCCTGAGCGTTGAAGGTATGCCCCAATACATACACAGCCCCTGCCTGAGCAACAACCAAACTAACCAAGCA